AGAGGCAGATTCCCCCTGCTGCATCACAGCGTCGGGGCTGCCGTGGGCTTGTGGCATTTCCCAAAGCCTCCTGGCTTCCCGCAGCAGCCGTGGTATTAAATTAATCGCCCTCCTTCCCCGGGCTGCACCTCGCTGCCCTCTCCTTCCCCCAGCCCCTTGGGTCCAGCTGATCATGCATCAAACCTGAAATAGCCCTGTCTGGAGCACATCTCCTATTCTGCTCGAGTGATGGCAGCTGCCCGGTATGCAGTGTATCTGGTTTTCCTCCCGTGGACCTTGGCATGGCGTTTGCAGAGAGGCTGAGGACATGGGGACATCGCTGCTCCCCTCCGCAGGGCGCATCCCTGTTCTGATGGGACCCGGCCGGCTCTGCCCATGGGGTCAGGAAACCTCAGCCCCATTCAACCAAAGGTCCAGCGCTCAGTCTCACCCCAAAAACATTGCCCTGAAACATAAATCCACATTTCAAAGGACCATTAGTCCATTTTATCCCATGCTATCAGCTGGATCCTGTAAGATAAATCGCATAATTGGGTTTTTTTCCATGTAGCTTTTCATTTCCTAGCATCAAATGGATGCTTTTCCCTAAGCTGGGCTTCTCTTGCTGCATGGATTTTGGGAGCTCTGGCTCCTGCCAGCGCAGAGCTGGGACTCTGCTCCGTGCTGGGTGTCGTGGGAAGGAACGGATCCAGCTCCGGCTTTCCCTTGGCCATTCCCAAACCTGGGCAGAATTACTGGAGAAGGGTTTTTGGTGGGGCAAGGGGCTGCCGGAGGGGACTAACGTGCACGTTAGTCCCCTCCGGCAGCCCCTTGCCCCCAAAAAACACCTTTCTGATGGAAAGGATGCACCGGAGCATGAGCATCATCACCAAGACCTGCATCCTAGAGCATCCCATCCCCGGGTCTATCTCCACTCGGGTCTTTCCCAAATCCTGCTTTGTTTCTTTATTATTATTTTTTTTTCCCCCCAAGATGGAAAAAAAAAAAAAGTTCAGCGGTGAAATATATATTATTTGCATGTGTATTTTTCTAAAAAAAGAATATAATAAAATAAAAAAATAGCCATAAACCTTTCCCGACTGGGCCTGCGTGAAGGATGGGGGGAGAGAGAGAGAGAGATTGGAATAAATTGTCTTAAAAATGACTTTGCCCCTGTGTTTTAATCAGGTGGATCTCCTCCACGCTGCTTGCTCGGCCTCGATGGTCCCTGGCGCCTTCCCCAGCTCAGCCCCCGCCGGCTTCTCCTTTTTGATGGCCTACTTTTTTAATAGGGAAAAATTGATGCACCTTTTAAAGAAATGTTAGTGTTTGCCCCGGAGCCAGCTAGGCACACGAAGGAGATTTAATTTTTATTTTCTTTTCCCCGGTGCGTTCAATCTCTGCCAGTCACTGCCGATCTGACGGCGGAGCTGAGATCCTGCTCTGGCCTCAGGACATTTGATTTCAGTGTATTTAAAAATCAATTACTCAGTATTATCTTATTAAAAAAAAAAGATGTTCCCTTAGATTAATGGGCTGGGAGTGTCATCTTCCACCCAGGCTTCGGAGACAACGTCCCCTCAGGTCTCCATGCGGCCGAGCTGAGCCTTGCAGTGCTGGTTTCTCTCTCGATGGCCCAGGAGCAGGGTTTCATGGCCACGTTTCTCTTAGGCAGAAGCTCGCCTTGCTCCTTCCTTTTTTTAATCCCCCTCCTCGGAGCACTCTCCAGATTCACCATCGGAGGAGGGACCCCCACCAGCCCGTGCTCAGATGTCTTCCCTGGGGTTTTACAGGGGTATGTGCTGGCGGGCTATGGAAAACCATACGCCACGTGCCCCGGGACAGCTTTCATTCCCTCCGCCTGAGGAATCACTTATCGCCGTGCCTGATAAGCTGGTGTGTGTAAGAAAAGGGGTGCTTCTTCCTTCAGTATTCGCTCAGCTCCGGGTGCTCTTTGCAGCGGGTGCACCCCCAGCACCCCCCGATTTTGCTGGCTGCACTTGCAGAATGGTATAGAGGGGCTATAGGGGCAGCACCTATAGAAGAGGAAGTGAGATCCTCGGCCACTTAGCCCCAAGCTGGGTGGTCTCCCGGCCTCCCTGAAGGAGCAGCATCCCTGTCCCCCTCGCCGGGTGGTGGTCACCGAGCCCACGTGGCCTTTAATGCATGAGAAACGAGGGGTGATAAACGAGGCGAGGGGCAGCTGGGGGAGGGCACCCTGCCCCGGAGGGGCGTTGGCTGAGCTGAGACCACCCTCAATTTAAATCCCCAAAGGTGGGTTAGACCTGCTGTGACAGGGGTAACTGCAGGAGGAGACCCCGGCAAAGGTAAGAGCAGCGCTGGAGGAGGACGGTGCGGCACACCATGGGCACAGCCTGCATCCCCATCCCTCCCTGCGGGGTATTGGTGACATCCTTCCCACAATGGCTTTTGGAAAGCGGATACAGTCCTCGGATGGTGACACCCATCCATTAAACCCGGGGTTAAGCGTGGCCTGGTGGCCTCCAGCTCTGCTCCTTCAAGCCTAAGTGCAGCAGGCAGCTCTCAGCCTCCTCTCCCTCCCTCGAGGGATAAAAAGGACGCTTGCTTGCTGGGCTCTGGGAGTTTTATTGCGTCTCTATTAAAGCTGTTAAAAATCTTTCCATTGTAGCAGTGTCTGGGAGTGATAAGTATTCATAACAGAGGAGATTCAAGATGGGTTTGGTTGTAAAAACACCTCTAAGCTGGCTGGATTTATGGCTGTTAAATCATCCCTTTTCTCATCTGTCACAGCCTTTTCAGATGTTCATCACTGAACAACAGCAAAGTTGGGGCCATAATTTGTGCCACAGCGTGTGGAGCAAGAGGGAGGGGAGTCCTTTCCATCAGTAACTACCTCGTGATTTATGGGGACCGTCTCTTATTCTTTTTATTTTTTTTTTTTCCTGGAGCAGGAGATGCTTTGGCTCTCCCTGGCTGCTCTCCCCCGCACGCTGCCACGAGCTTGCTCGGCCTGCTGAAGGCAGGCAAGGGCTGGGGGGATTTAGAGCCATGCTGGAAAGTTTGACAGCAGCGTTTGGGGAATTCGGGGCCGGCCTTTGCCCGCAGCGGGCTCTGCAATGCGAGGCTGCGCCTCTCCCCGTGCTGGGGCTCTGCTTTGGGGCTGCATCTCCCCGTCCTCCCCTTGCTTTGGGCTGAAGCATGGGAAAATCCCACCGATGCCCCCCGCCGCAGCCTGCAAAGAGCCTGGCTTTAGGTGAGCCGGGAGGTAGCAAGGTCTCCTCGTCTTGCCACAGCAGCCTAAAACTTAATTGGCGCTTTGCAAGGCGGTGCTGCGGGAGATGCCTGTTCTCCCTTTCCATCGCTGCAGTGCATCTTAAAAGAGGAAAATCTTTTGGGGGGAAAAGCTCCCAGCTTTATCCAGGTGCCGGCAAGCCTCGCTCAGCCGCAGAGCATCCAGGATGCGACCAAAGGCCAAAGCGGTGCTGGCAGGCACCGGGTGCTGCTGCGCCAGGGCCAGCATCCCTCATGGTACCAGCCTGGTACCCGCAAAGTGGGACCCCAAAAGCATCTGCCAGGGGCTGGTTTGCCCCCCGGTTTTTTTGCCAGGTGCGCCGGTAATCGGTTTCGTAGCCCCATCATGTGTCTGCCAAGTGAACTGCATGGCTGGCTCCCAGCTTTCTGGCCCCTGGGTCGGGCAGCGCTTGGCCCGCTACCGCCCATGGGCGTTCAAACAAAATGTGCGGCTGCTGGTGCCTTCGAAGCCAGGAAAAATTCCCAGCAGCTGTAGCCCTATCCCATTGGAAAACCCACTGGTGTGACGGGGGGGTTTCTGCGCAGTGCAGAGCAGGAGTCGATTTGCAGCCAGGGGACCCCGGCCGTCGCCCCGCCGTGTCCCCCGGTACCCAGCCGTGCTGCCACAGGGCGTGTGGGCAGCGGCGGATGAATAGTGAGGATGAGGGTGAAACAGGCTGCTCGGGGGGGACACTGCCCAAGGCACGGGGGCTGGGGTCCAGGGCTGGGTTTTGCAGGAGGCCCACAGAAGTAACGGGCCATGCTTAGCTGGCTGCAGCGTTCCCCTCTTCAGATTCTCTGATGTCTAATATGGGGTGGCTCAGCCTTACCTCGGTGCTTCGGGGCTCTCTCCACTAAATGCTGCTGAATTTCCTAGGGATTGGAGGAAGGAGACCTGTTGAAATCCCCGTATTCCTCCCTCCAGGCACAGAGCATCTCCAGGAGATGTTTCTTCTTGTCCTATGGTAAGTGTATAAGAAAACCCAGGTTACTCATCGGTGTCCCTCCATTGGAATGGGGGGATGCTTAGCTTAACTTTGAGAGACTGATCCCACCACTAAAGCATTTGATTTCATCCTTCTCTGAATTATTTACAACTGAAATTGGAAGATTCCCATGGAGAAACATGGCTTTGATTTTTATTTATTTCACCCCTCCCCCCCCCGCCCCCCCCAGGAGCCTCCACTTTTTTATCTGATTTACAGCAGCACAGGGATGCTGCTGGGAAGAGATGCGCCGCGGCTCCTCTTTCGGGAGGGCTCGAAGGCAAAGCTGAGTCACCGCGTGCACGGACAGAGCTGCAGATAGGGCTCTGGACGGTAACGAAACACATCTGTCCTGTGTGGCCGCATCCCAGATGTGAGTCACATCCTCTTGCTCTGCACTTTCAACCCCAGACACTGTGGCTGGGCAAGGTCACTGCAGCTTCTTGGCCGGCCAGGGAGGTGCATGGTGGTGTCTTGGCTGAATTATTTTCATCCAAGCTCTGGTTTTTTGGGTGGTTTTGGGGTTTTTTTTGGGTGGGTTTGGGGGTTTTTTTTGTTGTGTTGTGGGGTTTTTTTTTTTCACTGCTGGTTCCCCAAAGGGCATCGAGCCCAGCTGTGAGCAGTCTTTGCCATGGGCTCAGCCTAACTTGCCCCTCCGC